TATTCTCTGGACCTCCTTGTTAAATTTCTGGCTGGTCTCTTGGTCTGTTGCTTACCCCAACTAGTACTGAAACCTCAGACTAACTGCAGAATTTGTCTTCCCTGATATTTTACGATTGAGATTGCTATTGATTTTATTGAAATCCCTGGGTATGCATTTTATCCCAGATCAAATTGGCCCCCACTGGCAGCAGAGCTGCCGGTTTCCACAGCCTCGCCTGCCCAGATGGAATGGGTGAGGGAGGGGTGGGATGGAAGCCCCAGGATAAAACACCACAAACTCCCACTGTTCATAACCATGGTTTAGTAGTGTTTCTTGAATAAATGCTTTTCAATTTGCTGTATGCCTTTGATCTCCTTTGCCCTAAAATGGTTGATTTTTACTGTTTTGTCCAGTTTCATTGTTGCTTCGGGGGCAGAGGATTTGCCAAGCTCCTCACTCCACTACTCTGGAAGTCCTGACATCCCCATTCTGCACCCCAACCCCACCAGGCACACTCTTAAGTTTATTTTAGGCTAATACTACTACCAAATATTTATTTTAAATTGGCTTCATTTTAATTGAAAATCTAATCTTTCTCCAAGAGCCATTAATGGCTCTATCAGCATCTTGAAAGCATTAGGGGGCCTCAGAGGGAACCATCTTGCTGAATATAAACCACATGTTTCCCCATTAGACTTCAGGCCTCCCTGAAATGGGATTATCTACCTGTAGATGCCTACACACTGCCTCAAGGTCCATTGGGGTGGGAAGGATAAGGCTTTTCTGACCCTCTCCTGTGATGGATGAAGTGATAAGAAAACAGGTTCCTAAGCTGAAAGTTGCCTCATGTGATTTCTGATAACCAACAATACAGATGAAACCACATTATTATCCAAATTTCTAACTTCCTCCACCCAGCATTTATTACCCAAAAAAAGCCTCCACAAGACCCTGAAAACCTCAGAATTCCATATGACAAACTATTCATAAGCATGAAAGCCATCAGTAAAGCCCTTCGGGGCCAGGGTGTCATGTGGGTAATTGGCAAGAACCTCTTTAAAAGGGATTCCATTCAATAATGTGTCTTTTTAAAAAACAGCTAAACCTAAAGCTGAGCATCAAGTAATTACACTCTCAATCTTTCCAATTGCACAGTGTTTTGAAAATGTCAAAATTACAACCAAATGCTGCTGCAGCATATTTTACTGGTGGTTTTCTGGACCCTCGTAGAGGTGCTGGCCACAAGAGTGGAAAGGGAAAAGTTTGCATATTTTTCCTGTAGAACCATAGTAAGTAGAGCATATAGATATAATATAGATGGCACCCACTGAAATGCACATATTTAATGAGCTGGGCCTTTGGTTGTATTCACCGCCCCCCTTTTGGAAGGAAAATCAATGTATGTCCATAAAACCATAAGGTTGTTATGGAAAAAACTAAAGCAGCAAATTTCCACAAGAGAAAAATAAGTCACTGAAAGGTGATATTCCAAGAGATAAGGCAAGGTATGGCCCCTCACAGGTAAAGAAGCTGTGCAGGACTTAAGTAAGGGCAGAGTTAGTACCATGGGGCTTCCCCAAGCTTCACTCCAGTTCTTGGCCAGGACCCTCAGAGTAATAGGCTGGGTGAGGACTTGTGTATATCCAATGCCAAACTGTGTCACCTGGAGTCCTTTTAGAAATGGCCCAGAACCACTCATTCATGTATTTCCTCAATAAACAGACCTTTGTAATATCTTCCTCTGTGCTAAATGCTAGGAATACATATTTGGCTACTCAAGGCCCAGTTTTGGAAGCCATTATATATCATAGGGGAGGAAAGGAACAAAGAAACCATTTAAGTTAATAGAATATGCTAAGTATATATTATTCCAAAAAGAAAAAAACTATTAAGACATACAGGTTACAGACTGGCATCTATGGGTCAAATCAAACTACAAATGTTTCCTTCACTACATACTGATTTGTTTGTTTGTTTTTTTCAGAGAACTATGAAATCCAGCCCAAGTGCTTTACGTAGCCAGAGCAAACTCTCTCCTTTTATCTATGAATGCCTGGTTCTGAGCAGTCCTGCTGATACTTGACTAGTATTTGTTCATTAATTCTGTGTAAGTAGGTGGACAGATGCCAGAATTTTAAGAAAAATGGAGAAGGAAATTGAATAGTTTTTTCAATTTTAACTTTATCATTAGGAAAAAGCTAGCTATAGTTCCATTTCAGCAGTGGAATACTATTCTCTGATTTACAGAGGGAAATTTTAGCTATAACTCTTTGGAAAAGGTGAGGAATACAGGAAAGCTGGAGGTGGAAGATATTAAAACATACATATTAGATTGTTTCCTTCTGTGTGTTTGAGTATTTTGATGGAAGAAAGAGGGAGGACTGTCTTCAAATAACAACAATGGACCACTGCATCCTTGCTAACCCCTAGGGTAAGCAAGGAGCCTTCCGCACTCCCAGACCCCTTCTTCCACCTAGGGAAGGGTGGGGAGGGGAACTGCCCTAGGGCAAATGCATGCCCTAAAGAAACTCTAACTATGCCAATTTATAAATGCAGGAGGGCCATAGGAAAGGTGTGGAGAAAAGGAGTTTGTAGCTGGAAGTGCCTGCTCACTCCAGCTTTCTGTCTTCTTCCTGCCTGCTCAGTGTCATCCATAGTGCCCCATTTTTTGCCTTCCAATAAACACTAGATGAAAAGGGAGAATGAGCCCTTTGGAGGCAAGAATGCCATGACCATGTACCTGGTACTACAGACTCCTTTGTAAAGAAAGCATCTACTTCTTGTTTATACCCTACAATCAAGCACCTTGTTGGGTATAACTAGCAGAGAAAGATAGATCCTTGATCTCTTGAAGCTTACAGTCCAACAAAGGAGATAAAATTTAAGCAGAAGGAAGGAAGGAAGAAAGGAAGGGAGGGAGGGAGGGAAGGAGGAGGAAAGAAGATATATTATGCAATGAATTACACAACACTCTTAGAGCCCATAACAGCATGTGCCTTGTCTGGCACAGAGGGAGGGCGGTGGGACATCTGGAAAGACCTAGAAGAGTGTGACGTTCTGCTGCTCACTGAAGGACAACTGCTAGACAGGGCAAGAGAGGAGGACTCTATAGAGAGAAAATAGCATGTGCAACATGCCCAGAGACAGAAAAGAAGTGGAGGAAAGGAAGTGAAAGGAGATCCAGTGGCACAGCAGAGGGGCTCTGGCAGGAGGCACCAGAACCTGCAAGGCATCCAAGGAATTGGTAAAGGTTTAGGATTTTATCCTAAGAACCATAATCATTTGAGGAGTTTTAAGGAGAGCAGAGGTCAGACCAGATTGCCATTTTTAAAAGATATCCTCCTGGTTTCTTTCTGTGGAAAATGTTTAATAGCTGACAAGACAGGAGATAGGCTCAGGTGTATGGCCAGGTGTAGACACAGTGATGGCTAGATTAGGGCTTTTCTAGGAAGAAGTAACAAAAAAACAGAAGAGTGGATATAGAAATACAGGCCACAATAACATAACATGGAATAGACCACATGGGAAACAGACACAGGAGGGGCTGGTGTTGAGAAGAAAGGTTGAAGCATCAGTGAACTGGAGGTCCTACTGAGGCCAAGGACTGTTGGGATGGGAGTAGACAAAAGAGCAAATGGAAGGACTGGATGTTGGGGTGCACAAAGGCATGACCATTTTGGGGTATGACAATATCCAGAATGTGGCTTAGCAGAAGGTGGCTATGGAAGAATAGAAGAGGACAACAGCAACAATAAGAAGGTAGCAGAAGGGAGACCAGTGCTAAAGAGGCACTGAATTCCAGTTCCTAGGAGAAGCAGATGCTCAGTCATATGCAAAATCTTCCAGAATACAGATTTAGAGCTCCTGGAAGGGCTTCAGGAAGATTCTAAATTCCCCAAGTCTCCCCAACTCCCTCTGCCTAAGTGTTTGGCTTGATGACATAAAAGCAACTATTATCACAGTCATTTAGAGATCCACAAACATGTTACATGGAGGTTCAGCATGTATTCCTAGGGACTAGGTGCATGATAAACAGAAAAGTTACTGATAAACCTGGCCTCCATTCCCATGGTCTCAGCCGGTGACTTTGCTCCATAGAGTGATCTCTACATTGTTTGCACCACACATACGACTCCATATCCTGCATCCCCTACTAGACGAAAAAGTCAGAGGAGGTCACAGTGCTTTCTTCACAGTTCCTAATGCCATGCCTGGGATGCATGTAGTAAATGTTTAATAAATAATGAATCAATCTCATTTATATAAATTCAAAACTGTCAAAACCAATATATGGTGTTACAAGTCAACATAATGGTTGCATCCTGAGTGGAGATGACTGGATGGGAGTATCAATGTTATTTCTTGATCTGGATGCTGTTTACATTGATGTGTTCAGTCAAAATTAATTGGTCTGTGCATAGCAGAGAAAAATTGTGAACCAAAAAAAAGATAAGCTACTAAATGGGAGAAGATATTTTCCAGTGATACAGCTAATAAGGGGTTACTGTATAAAGAATGCACACAACTCAAAAACAACAACAAAATCCAATTAAAAAGTGGACAGAGGACCTGAATAGATACTTCTCCAAAAAGGACATGCAGTTGGCCACTAGACATATGAAATGATGTTCAACAACACTAATTGTTAAGAGAAATGCAAATTTAAACCACAATGAGATATCATTTCATGCCTATCAGAACGGCTATCATAAATAAATCATCAAACCAGTGTTGTCAAGGATGTGGAGAACCCTTGTGCACTGTTGGTGGGAATGCAAAATGGTGCAGCAACTAGAAAACAGTAACTTTCACATGTCCTGAAATAGTCTTTTGATTTTTTTTTAATCACTCATTCATAGTCCCCCAGCTGTACAAAACAGGCTGCAGCCCCAATTTGACCCACAGGAAGTAGTTTGCCCGGCCCCTGCCCTAAGGGGGTGTGCATGTAAAACACACGTCTCAGCCTGCGCACTGCCTCAGCCTATCCTTCCCCAGGCTGCCCCACACGCACTCCCCACCTTTATAAGTAGGCAGACACTCCATCTTGTCACCACATGGATATTTACTGTCCCGAGGTTTGATGGGGTCCACTCGATAGACAGAATAGGGGTTGTAGTCCTGTTTATATGTTGTGAGCAGGTCCATATTCTCTTCACTTGGAATGAACTGGTCAGGCTGGTGGATCTTCACTGGTAACACTTTGTGAGGTCCAAAATCTCTCCTGTAACAAAAATAAACACTGCCATTGGGACCACTGGCTCAGAATGAGGCTCATGGCTTCCAATCAACCCAATTCTACAAATGTTTGCTAAGAAGTTGTCTTGTACTCCATTCCCCTAACTGCTCTTCCTCCTCCATTTCTCACTTTCGAGAAAGACATCACTAATCCCCTCTCACCCAAGTCAGGCACCTGGACACCACCCTAGATCCACCCCGTCACAGCTCCAGAGAATCATTCAGCAGGGGAAGCCCCCTTCGCCTCCTCAGTAAGTCTTTCCTCCATGGTTCAGATCCTGATGCCATCTCACTTGGATCATGTGACAGCCTACCACCTGGGCTTCCTGCTTCCTTCCTGCCACTTCTTTTTCAGTCTCCTCAGTGTGGCCAGAATAAGCTCTCTAAAGTGAAATCAGACCATTTTACTCCCTAGCTTAAAACTGTTCCAGATAAAGCCCAACTTTCTAGCATGGTTTATAAGCTTTGCTGGACCTGCCCCTGCCTTCCTCCCCAGACACATCACCACCTACCCCCACCCTCCCCCCCACATCCCAGCCCAACCACCATGAACCACTAAGAAGGCCTCTCTTCTGTGCCTGCTCTTTCTACCTTCCTTCCCCACCAGCCCCTTCACTGTAGGGCTAACTTCTATTTTCCAGGTACCACCACTTCCTTCTCTGGTCTCCTATATCTTCTCCTGCTAATATTTACCCCCCTTCTCTACCTGACCTCACAGAAAACCCAGCAGGGCAGAACAGTACAGTAAATGGAGACGTAGACTTTTATTTTCTGCTCTCTGACATCAATGTCCCCATTATTTCAGGGAGCTTGAAAACAATAGGACAGAAAAAGCATGATGATCTTCACTAAATAGGAAGCACTCTCTTCCCTAAGCATCCCACGGTTACAGAGGCCAAGAAACTAAGTGCATCCCCACCAAGAACCACCCTGGTGACACCAGGGCCCTGGCTTGGGCTGACAGTCCCCACTAGGGGACCTCCCAATTCTCAGTGCAAACTCTCTTAAGTAAACATTTCCCCCTAGGGCTTCTCCTTTACACAACAACCTGGTTTTGCCTGGAACACATTTATTAAACTGGACAAGGGAAAGGTAGATTTTCCCTGACGGTGCTTGCCAAAACAGCCTCGCCAAGGGAGGGGGAGGTTTCCGGACAGGAACACATCAGGCCCAAACACCAATAAAACCTACTTCCTGGCCGAAATCTGGAGCAGCATTACTGAGCCACGCTTGACTAGCAAAGGTAACACGCTCCACTGTAATCTGTCTTGCATGAATTATATACATGGTTGTCAATAAACCCAAACTGGTGCCTGAAAATGCTTTCTGGGATGGGGGAAGGAGTTAGGAAGTGGGAGAATTAGTTTCTCCAGGGCTCTAAGGAGGAAATGGGAGATGCTTCAGTTGAACTCCCAGTAATACCCTCTGGGTAGATTTAAAAATATATTTGGCAGCAGTTACGGGTCTTCAGCCTGGACTCCCCTCCCAAGGGCCCCATGTTGGCAAACAGCAAGAGGAAGCTGACTGTGTATCAATTGGGGTTATGGAAGGAGCAGGCTAAACAAGAGCCCAAGAGTCGGTTCCACACTTGCACCCTTCTTAGTGTACCTCTTGCCGGTGTCTGCTTAACACTAAACCAACTGCAGCAGCACTCTAGGAGTAAAGGCCCTGGGTGACAGAAAGAAATGGAAATATCCAAAAAACCTTATCTGAAAACTGGTTCACTGCAAAGTGGCTTTTGTCAGAAAGTTTGTGTTCTCAGGGGAGCACTCCCAAAGGCAGGTGGGCTCTGCTCCTTCCCAAAAATAGGTGGGCGGGGTTTGGAGACAGCTGAGACCACACATCCCCACAGAGAGCCATGTTCATCGATGGCTACCCAAGGGTTCAGCACACTTCCAAAGAGGAGGATCAGCAGATACCAAGGGCAAGTGATAAGAAACAAGGCCCAAAGCCCAAGCTGTGCCCCCCTTAACCAGTCCCAGCCCCAGAGCAGTCAGGAGTGCTCTCCAGTCCCAGGCCTGTCATGCTCTGGGACCATACACACAGGTCAGGTCACGACACCCTCTGCTGTTACTCCTAGTGTGGCATCTGACTTCTCTGCAGAGACACTGTGAGAGCCTGCCTTCAAGGGCTGCCAAGCTCTCTGACAATTTCAGGGCACTTAATGCCCCTGCCTCCTGCTGTTTCTATAGGAAAAGAGCAAAAAAATGCTCACAGCCAAACTTAGAATTTCATGGACTATCCTGAAGTTGGTTACTCAAAGATAAAAGCTGATGTAGCAATATTCTTGTTAACTAAGTTTAGGGAAAGAAATTGTCCATTGAACAATCTCCTTCTCCTGTACAAAATGTAAGCTCCCTGTGAAAGTACATCTATAATTGGATACACTGATCAGCCATAGCTAAGAAAAACAATCTTGAGGGGGGAAATGAACTATTGCTGAAGTGAGGAAAAGTTTTAAATTTAATTCATTTATACTCTACCCAAAAAATATTTACTGTGGCTTAAGAGTGAATTTAATCAGAATTTATGTTTCCTCATTATGTTTTTATGTTGAGAACATTTGCTGAAACCTATCATTAACCACAACACAACTACACGTCCCCAATCTCACATAATCTTACAGCCTTTAAGTTCGCATAAAAGTCTATTTTATCCTTCCCAGAAATTGCTCAAATTTAGTAGCTTTTTTTTAAGAACACTCCCCTCTCTTTCTGTGTTACATTTCCTAGTCCCCATGCCCATTGTGGCTATGAACCAAGAAAAAAAAAAATTGGTCAAAGATGTTAAGTTTCTTTTAGGTGTGGAGCTATAAAAGTTATATAGTATGGAAGGCCAAGAGTTAAACTCCAAGTTAAGTAAAGGTTAAAGTGGCCCTGCTGGGAAAGTCGTAACAACTTGACTCCCAATCATTAGGCAAAGCTAAAGAAAGGTGTTTGACAAGAATCTGACAAAGGAAAGAAGAAATAACATTGCCAACTAGCTTCCGGGAGCCTGGAAGTACAGAAAAGAAGATATTCACAGAGATAAAGGGGCCATAAAATACTTCTTTAAAAAAAAACCTGTTATTAATGTTTATCTGTGAAAACTTCAGAATTTGTTAGTGTGCCCAAGTCATCAATCACATTAAATAGAATCCATTTAAAGAAGTGTTCCTCCTCTTGCCCAAAGCCAATCTCTTCACCCCTCCCCTAAATCCCTTCCTTCTTTCTTGGAAACTTTATGGAATAGACCATCACCTGGTCTGTGAAATCACAGACCTTTTCCTTTTGTTGGCTTCTTTCTGTCAAGTATTTAAATATGCTCCACCCCTTCTGAACTTTCAGGGAAAAAAGTAAAATACAGCACAAGCCAAACTAGCATCCAGCCCTCTCTCCTCCCCTGCTCTCTTCTAGGAAGCATCTTCCATGGGTACAGACTGGCCTTCCTCACCCCCCACTCACATGCCACCCGTCAACTCTGACTCTACCCCTTCCTTGCTGTCAGTGAGGCCAGCAAAGCAGCATCCTGTTTCCAAATCCAGTCACTGCTCCACAGGCCTTTATTCTCCGGCGCCATCTTAATGCTATCCATCCTCTCATTCCTTTTTTAAATTCTCTTTCCCTTGATATTTTTTTAATATCTTTCCCTTGAGATACTCCTCGTGATTCATCCTCTCAGTTGCCTCTATGGAGTTTTGCTCTGTCGGTCAATTGATTTGATTTTATTACTTCCACACATAATTCTCAGATTTCCCCAAGGTTAAAAGGCACCCTCTAGGGAAACCATTATGACCTCGCAGGCAGGTCGGGGAGCCCATCCCACCACACTGAGAAAGACCCCTAGGCTGACACTGGGGGTAATATTAGTGGTTAGTCGTACAACCAGAGAGCTACTGGCTGAATAAATAGGCTGATTGTTTCAATAATTATTGATACTGCGTTAGGGCTATCAGGGTGCCTTGGGGTAAGGAAAGTATTCAAAGGGCTTGGTCCGTGTCTCTGTTCCTAATAAAAACAGACTGTGCCCTTCTCATCTTCACTATGAACGGCAAGATTCCAAAGTACCTGCCTCCAGGATTCAAGTTACATAGGACCTCTCACGTCCTCGTCCGCCACTAAAGCTGAGGCTAACACCTGCCATTGCTTCGTATGAACTCTCAACACAATATAAAAACAACTAACTACCTGTAAGCACTGAAGAGTAACCAAGATAGGCAGATTCTGGAGCAGAACCATGGAGTGGAAGAAAGTAATGGCACTGGGTGAGCCCTTGTATAAGTTTCCACTTTGTTTCAAGGCTTCCAGCCTGTGCTAGGCAAGGTAGCCAAAATGTGACTAGAACACCTTCCACCCTCTTGACTGAAGAACCAGAGGACCAAATTTTGAGGCAACCACAGGTGCCAGAAAGTAAAGAAGGAATCCTGGAAAGGAAAGAATCGGAGACAGGAAGTTAAAAATTTATCTACTGGGCCCAAATCTCTGGCTGACCTCACATGCATGCCAGCCTTGAAGCAACACTAAAGGTAAAGAACTGAACTGAGATTTGAGCTGCTACTTAAGACACAGAGTTTGTATTTTCAGTCCAATCAAGTTACCTTCTATCTGAGAGAGGGAGGGAGGGGGGGAGAGAGAGAGAGAAAAGAAGAAGGAGGAGGAGGAGGAGGAGTGGGGGGGGGGAGAAGGAAGAGAAAGAAGAGAAAGAAGAGAAGGAAGAGGAGGGAGGGAGGGAGAGAGGGAGGGAGGAAGGAGAAAAGAGCTCATCATCCCAACTGGTGTGGCTTGGTTGGTTGCACATTATCCCACAAACAGAAAAGCTGCCCTTTGGATCCCCAGTCAGGGCACATGCCTGGATTGTGGGTTTGATCCCATGTTGCAGCATATACAAGAGGCAACAAGTGTCTCTCTCATATTGGTTACTCTCTTTCTCCTTCCCTTCCCTTCTCTCTAAAAATAAGTAAATAATCTTTTTTAAAAAAAAAACCTCTTCAGAGGAATGTAGAAAAAT